ATGCGATTTAAATTTAAGTTTGTGGTTAAGCGCATCAATCATTCAATTTTGTTCTTTAGGTTTCAGCAATGTTGTTTAATAGAAAAGAATTGATAACATTCAATAAATTGAAACCTGCAGTCCAAGAATTACTACGTCGTAATTTTACACAGGAGCATCTAGCTCAAATAAAAACCATTTATCCCGATGCATATACTTATCAACAAGAGAAGCATCGAAATTTTGGTTCAGTGTCCAAGCGAGAAAAATACGAATTAGTTCTAACGCCTGTAGTTGAAAAAATTAATGGTAGAAATACGCCTGACGCGGATAACGTATTGAAAACTGCGTCTGAAAGTGGTATGAGCCCTACAATACTGCTGGAAAGAAGGAAAAGATTTTACAACGCTTTATTAGGTGCATATTATTCTTTTCAAATAGTTTTATCTATCACACACACACACACACACACACACACACACACACACAAATGTGATTACTACAAACCTATATCTTTAAATGTATTTATTTTGTTGCAGAGAGAGTGAAGGATGAACATGAGAAATTTTTGTTGAGCTTTGAGACTCCCAGATTAATGAATATACCGAGGGAGAAAATAGTACGCTGGCATCCCGAATTTGATGTGGAATCTTGCAGGAAAATTGAGCAAGCTGTATTACCGCAACCACCTTTGGTCGAAAAACCAACTGCTAGGGATGTTCTTGGTAAGAGTCATGACATTGGTGATAGCAATAGGAATTTTTTGTATGGAAAAAATATTTTATTTATTATTATACAAAACTTGAAACTATTATTTTGTATTATTTATATGCACAATGCTACAAAATCATAATCGTGTATATTGAATTAAAAATAATATTTAAAAATGCAGAGTACGTAGCTGTATTAAATTATATGCATATATTGCATACACTCAGTGATATAATACGATCTTAATCCGGATGACAGCTTTAAGTGGGTCGAAAAATTGCACAAAAGAACAAAATAACAATGCGTAGTTTGCGTAGTTGTGAAACTCGGTTTTTACTCAGCTGTTGCAAAACTTTATTGACTAATCAGCACATAATGCAATCGGTATAAAGGTACTGCTTACGCGTAATGCTCGAGCAGTTACATTATACATTCTCGCATTATGCGCTACTCAACCCAATTCTTAATTAATAAATTAACTGTAGAGAATGGCTTTAAAGTGTCACTTCAAAAGGATCAAATTATTCATAGAATATGTAGGTGTCTCTGTTTTTGTGTCAATATTCCTGGCAAAATACAGTTATAAGACATTTATATTATGGACATGTCATTTGTTACTTAATTGTTTTTATCTTTTTTCCGCAGACAAAGCAAAATCTTTGTTTAATTGTGGTACACGTATGGAGAAGGCATTGCAGAGGCTCGCTGAAGCAAACCTAACTACCAAATCCAAATCTCCAGTTTCTACACAAGATTCTACAACCCAAACAACAGAAGATGGTATTCCGAAGGTTAACATTGCTATTGTAGAT